AGAGTTTTGGAGCCCAGCAAACGCACGTTCCCCTCTGAGCTTCCGCTTGGTTTTAGACATCACTCCTTTATTTATTATTGACATTATTGATTTAATCAGGAGGATTACATTTTTAAAACACCTCAGAGGACATTTTTACATCACTTTGAATATGAACAACAACATTTATTCTGACTAACTCATTTCTTTAAGTGTGATTTTATAGATTTTCTACAAATGTACAAAGTGGTGAGAAGAGAAAATCAGCATGAAAGAAAAGTTTGCTGCTCTCTCTCTCTCTCTTCAGACTCCTGAATCAGAACAGAAACAACAGAAAATATAAATGTATGAAAACAAATAATCAAACATGGAGAGCAGAGAGAAGTTGATATTTATCACTCAGAGAAATGTCAGTTCAGGTGAACAAAAGTCATCCTGAGCAGTGAAAGAGTCCACGGCTAAACAGACACAGGAAGGAGTGTCACTTAAAGACACTCAAACATTTACAGAACAGACGAGAAGAGGTCAAAGTACCGCCCATAAAGTTTGATTGACAGGTGACCACGATCAGATCTCAGCAACGAGCGTGGATAAAAATCAAGTTGAAGATTTAAAACACAGCAAGTTAAACATCTGTCTCATTAATGACTTCTGTCTATTTCAGTTTACACAACTCAGCAGAGTCTCCAGGACACCAACCAAACCTGAGTCCAGCATGTAGAGGCTGAGTGAATGTGGTCTGGACTCTGTGGAGGAGAGTCATGGTTTCAGAGATGCTGTAGAAGGACAGAATACCTGCTCTGTGATCCAGGTACACTCCTACTCTGGAGGACCAAGGACCTGAGACAGGAGTGCTGACATTGTTGTAATAAAAGTTATAACTGTTGTTGAAACAATCTAACGACCAAGATTTGTCATTACGTCCAAATACACACTCATTCGATCCCCTGCTCTGCTGATATTCTTGTATGTGACTGCTACACAAACTCCTCCTCTTCCTCTCTTCTCGACTTCCCAGTAACAACGTCCACTCAGACTCTCTTTACTCAGGACCTGAAGACATTCAGTGAATCTGTCTGGGTGACTAGAATAAGGATTGGATCTGAACCGTTAATGTTACTTTTCTGTTCCCATCAGATAATAACAGCTCTGTGTTTGCTGTGTTTGGATCCAGTGTGATGTCACATGAATATTTTAAGAACTCAGCTCTGGTCTTGGGCTCTGGTTGTGACAGTAAAACATCCACTTCAGTCACTGTCTGTGAGATGTTTGTCCATTTCTCTCTCAGGACGTCCTGTAGTTTATCTCTGACTTCTGACACAGCCGCTGTCACGTCCTCAAAGTACCTCAGAGGACGGATCTTGATGCTGGATGAGTGTGTAGATTCACTGAGTGGTGACAGTGAGGGGTAGTCGTGTAGAAACTGGTTGTGGTCCTGTGTGTGTGACAGCTTCTTCATCTCAGCGTCTCTCCTCTTCAGCTCAGTGATCTCCTGCTCCAGCTTCTCCTGAAGCTCTCTGACTCGACTCACTTCAGTTTGCTGCTGGGATCTGACCTGCTGCTTCACATCAGAGCGTCTTTTCTCCATGAGACGGATCAGCTCAGTGAACATCTTCTCACTGTTCCCCACTGTTTTATCAGCGAGCCATTGATAGCCTCCACCTCCTGTTGGAGCAGCTTCACATCTTTCTCTCTGTCCTGGATTCTCTGCTGGATGTTTTGTCGACTCACCTCCAGCTCTCTCTGCTTCTCGCTCCTTTCTGCTGCAGCTGAGACTGTGTCATGACCTTTGTGTTCGTCCACAGAGCAGAGATAACAGATAGACTGCTGATCAGTACGACAGAACATCTTCATCACCTCATCATGACGAGAGCAGACGTTCTCCTGGAGCTTCTTGGAGGGCTCCACCAGCTTGTGTTTTGTATAGGCAGGTATTTCATAATGAGGCTGGAGGTGTTTCTCACAAAATGAGATCAAACAGAAGAGACAGGACTTACAGGCTTTCAGTTTTCTCCCGGTGCAGACATCACAGGCCACATCTTCAGATCCAGCATAGCAGTGATCAGCAGGAGCAGCTTGGAGTCCAGTCTTCTTCAGCTCCTCCACTAAATTGACAACATGGTGTTTTTCCTCAGGTCAGGCCTCGCTGTGAAGGTCTGTCTACACTGAGGGCAGCTGTAGACTGTCTTCTCATCCTCTGTATCCCAGTGGCTTTTAATACACTTCATGCAGTAACTGTGTCCACAGGAACAGCCACCGGATCCTTCAGGAGATCCAGACAGATCGAACAAGAGAAGGTTTCCCGGTCCAGCTGAACTCCTTTCTGCGCCATTTCTCCTCTCGGTAACAACGACTGTCTGAGTTCACTTCCTCATAACTGATAACAAGTTTCACCTCTGATCTACAAAGCATGTGGATGTGCATGTGACTGTGCAGCTCTTGTTGATTACACCCATCCTCAAACTGTAGATCTAAAGGGGAGGGAACCAGGAAGTATGAGGACAGAGTGCAGCAGGCTGTGTTTGAGAGCAGGAAGAAGAGGGAGGGCTGATCGAACTACGATTCATTCCAGGAAGAGGAGCGGTTTGAGAGAGATACTTGTTTACAACAGAGAACATTTCTCTGTTAAAAACACTTCTCCTTTCAGATTTTAGATGAACTCTTCTTTGAATCGGAGGGTTTGGAGAAGACCACAAACAAAACCAGATATTATTTGTTAAGATTTCACTTCAGAGCCACAAAATGAGTCTTTCTAATGATTATCCACTTCAAATCTATTATTATTGTTTATTTTTTGAAGCATAAATACCAAATAAACAACGTCTCTATGCTTCTAAATGTGAGGATCTGATGTTTTTCTTGGTCGTACTTTATAGAGCAGTTAAAGTTTTTTCTCTTTTTGGCTGTTGATGGACTTTGACTTTAACTTTGTTGTGACTTAGAGGAAATTCATTTAGCAGCCGCAGGTGAAAAAAAGAAACGTAACCTGTAGAAAACACACTCAGGAACACAGACTCAGACATTAGAGACAAGCAAACTGAGGAAGAATAGTTATAGTTATCTGTTTGAGTCAAAGGTCTGTATTAAACTCAGACATTTCTGTGAACACTTCCAGGGTTTTTCTGAATTTACAAAAAGTGAGAACATTAAAGAGGACATATGATCCCCCTCCTCCACCTTTTCAAACAGTCCCCTCCTCCACCTTTTGAAACAGTCCCCTGTGGTCTGAATGAAACATCTGTGCTGTGCTTTGGTCAAAATATAACATGAATCAAGCACCAGCCTCGCCCCCTGAGATTTCTCCGTTGATGGGTCCATGGGTGGCGATACCAGGGGAGTTTCTTTTGTTTTTTACCAGAATCCCACTGTGACATCACAAGGAGAGCAAGGAGGAGAACCCTTAAAGCCTCTGCAGAGGTCCTAACATTTTATGACAATGTGAAGATGATGATGTGCCAAAAGCATGTGTAGTTTCATTCATCATTTTACAGATAAACAATCCTTGAAAGTTGAAGTGAAGCCTATTTCCTTATTTTGTGAAACCTTTACTAAAGTATAACAAGAGTAATGTTGTAAAGTTATGACTTTTTTCTCATAGATTTATGAGATGAGATGAGATGAGATTCAACTTTATTGTCATTACACATATACAAGTATAGAGTAACGAAATGAGGTTTGGCATCTCACCAGAAGTGCAAATAAGCAGAAAGTGCAAGAGTCTGTGCTATGTACAGTAATTACAAAATTTACAGATGTAGACAAAAAAAGTGAATTATTAGGTATATATGGATGGCTGGATTAATGGGATGCTATAAATATAAATAAATGCTATAAATAAGTAATGCTACAAAATAAGTGTATTTTTAGGATTATAATATACAGATTAAGATGCAGTGAGCATGCTATACTAATAATATACAGATTAAGGTGCAGTGAGCATGTTATACTAATAATATACAGATTAAGATGCAGTGAGCATGCTATACTAATAATATACAGATTAAGGTGCAGTGAGCATGCTATACTAATAATATACAGAATAAGATGCAGTGAGCATGCTATACTAATAATATACAGATTAAGATGCAGTGAGCATGCTATACTAATAATATACAGATTAAGATGCAGTGAGCATGCTATACTAATAATATACAGATTAAGATGCAGTGAGCATGCTATACTAATAATATACAGATTAAGATGCAGTGAGCATGCTATACTAATAATATACAGATTAAGGTGCAGTGAGCATGCTATACTAATAATATACAGATTAAGATGCAGTGAGCATGTTATACTAGTTTACAGATAATATAAAGAATATGGACATACTATGAACATACTATAATACAATAATACAGATGGATGAGAGATGTGTGTGTGTGACCAGGAGGAGTGGTGGGGGGATGATGGGTGTGAGGTGATATGCAGGGGAAAGGGGGGGGGGGGGTCAGCAGGGTGCGGAGAGAGAGAGGGAGAGAGAGAGAGACAGAGTTCAGAGTTCGGGGGGTAGAGTTCAGTAGAGAAACAGCTCTGGGGAAAAAGCTGTTCCTCAGTCTGCTGGTTCTGGTCCGGAGGCTTCTGAAGCGCCTGCCGGAGGGCAGGAGGGTAAACAGTCTGTGGGCAGGGTGGGAGGAGTCTTTAAGGATGCCGTGAGCTCGCCGCAGACAGCGTTTTCTTTGGACATCCTCAATGGCAGGAAGTGGACACCTTGTGATGCGGACAGAGAGAGAGACAGAGACAGAGACAGAGAGAGAGAGAGAGACAGACAGAGAGAGACAGAGAGAGAGAGAGACAGAGAGAGAGAGAGAGAGAGAGAAACAAAGAGAGAGAGAAAGAAACAAAGAGAGAGAGAAACACAGAGAGAGAGTGAGGGAGAGAGAGAGAGAGAGAGACAGAGAGAGGGAGAGAGAGAGAGAGAGACACAGAGAGACAGAGAGACACAGAGAGAGAGAGAGGAGAGAGAGAGAGAGAGAGAGACAGAGAGAGAGAGACAGAGAGAGTGAGAGCGTGAGTGAGAGTTTTGAGTTTTTAAAACTTCATTTATTCTGATAAAAATGTATTTACATTCCCATTGTTGGGATACTGTCACAAACTACAATATGTCACAAAAATATGGATTTATATGAAAACATCTGCAAATATGATTTCAGAGTCTTTCAAAGAAAAGAGTACACCATCATCGTCCCATATTTTTTCAAAAACATCCAGCTCTTCCATTTTAAAATAATACTTGTGTTCCAACAATATTCGAGATTTAACAAGGTTCCGAAACACCACAACACAATCACATCTCTGTCCTCTTTCCATTCTTTCTTTTCTACTGAGATAAACTGCCAACTTGACCAAAAAGGAAATTCAGCAGCCGACCTTTTTTCTTCTTTTTTTACTGTAAGAGAAACCAAAAATGAACATGAGGTCAGTAAAATGTTCTCCATAGGACATTAGGAGAGTATTCAGTATCCCAAAAAGAGATCTCAATCTAGAACACTGTAAAAAACAATGAAAAATTGTCTCTCGTTCAGAGCAAAAGGGGCAATTATCTGAGACAGCAGGATTCAACACAGAAACAAAAGCATTAACAGCCACAATTCCATGTAAAATACGTCATTGTAAATCAGCAGTACTTTTTGTTAACGGTGGTTTGTAGAGCATGCTCCATGCAGGTTTGACCTCAGATTTTACTTTGAAATACTTTCTCCATGGTGTGTCTGCTCTATCTTTAAGTTTCTCTTTATTTAACCCCTTGACACATCCCTGATAAAGTGTTTTCCCATTCACAGAGTCCAAAGGCATCCAAACCTTCCTGCTCTCTTCCAGAGGGCCCAGTCCTTCAGACTTTGACCTCACACACATCCTGGGAAAACAGTCACAATCCTCAGGTTTCAGTTGTCCGTTAAACCATTTCTGTAGGAGAACTCTGTCCTCTTCTGACAGCGCCTTTCTGAATTTCTCCAGCATCAGCCCGACCACTCGAATCGATCTGACCTCCAGTCTCCTCGCCACGGTTACAGCATTATCCAAATTAGCTCCAGCCAGTTCTAACAGATGTTGGACTGTAGTTATTCCTTTATTTGTCAGAGTTCCAGATGTCATCAGCGCCTCTTCCAATGAAGTGCCCAACCGAGAGCCCTTCAGTATAGGTTCCTTCAACAGCCAATGCAAGGATGTGTTTGAACCCAGACGCCCAGTTTCCAACAGCCCCCACATTTTAATAACACTCACATAAAATGATGGCAAACAACTCAGATTCACTCTGCACAGTTCATAAGAAACATGTTTCTTCCAAATCCTAAATGACCAACAAGACCAAAGATAAACTCAGCCACGTGTCTCCAGGGTAAATTTAGAGGTCCATAAAGAAAGCTTTGTAGGACCTGCAGTCTAAAAGCTGCCTTCCTACTTGCCAGATGAACCAATCCCTGTCCTCCTTCCTCTTTAGGCAAAAATAAAACACTCTGTGGTACCCAGTGTAATCTATCCCAAAAGAAGTTTACTATGATACTCTGGAGTTTCATTAACAGGTTTGCTGGGGGTTCTAACACTGACAGGCGATGCCACTAGATTGTTAATAATAAGTGTGCGCCCCCTATAGGACATTCGTGGTAAAAGCCACTGCCATTTCTTTAATTTGCCCTCCATTTTCTCAATCACACCCTCCCAGTTTTTCTGAACCTCAGACTGACATCCTAAAAAAACACCTAGATACTTGATGCCATGCGTCACCCATTTAAACCCATCAGGTAACCTTGGTTCATTCCCTCGCCATTTTCCTACTAACAAGGCTGTACTTTTACCCCAGTTTACCTTCGAGGAGGAAATTTCCCCAAAGCACTCTGTGATGTGAATAAGCTTTTTGACATCACTATTACCTGTTACAGCAACCATGATGTCATCTGCATATGCTGACAGATGCATGGGTATAAGATTCTCCTTTAATTTAAACCCTGTTAACTGTTTTCTTATCTGACACAACATGGGTTCAATGGCTATAGAATAAAGCATGCCAGACACTGCACAGCCCTGCCGAATCCCTCTATTGATATTAAAAGGAGCGCTTAAACCACCATTAACCTTCAATACACTTTCAATGTCACAATACAGAGTTTTCATCAAGGCAATGAAACTGGGGGAGAAACCAAAAGCCTCAAAGGTGTTCCACAAATACTTATGCTCCACCCGATCAAATGCCTTCTCTTGGTCAAGAGAAATCAGACCAAACTTAACATCTACCGAGCTAGAGACTTCCAAATAATCTCTAATGAGGGATATATTGTCCCTAATTGATCTGCCAGGGATGCAGTATGACTGATCAACATGTATTACTTGCTCCATCACTTTTTTTAATCTATTGGCCAACACCTTGGAAAAGATTTTATAATCTGCACAAAGCAGACTTACTGGCCTCCAGTTCGTTATTTCACAAAGGTCACCTTTTTTAGGCAGGAGAGTGAGGACCGCTCTTCGACAGCTCACAGGTAGTTTCCCTCCAGACACACTGTCATTTATGACCTCTAACAAATCGTCTCCCAAAGTAGACCAAAAACATTTGTAAAAGTCTACAGGGAGACCATCTATTCCT